CTTCCTGGCACGCTAGCAGGATGGGGTCACGACCTAAAGCGGTGGCCTGTCTGTTCCCCAAGCGGCGACTTGCTTTGGCCAAAATTGAGTCTCAGCACCGAATATGGATTGGGCAAATGGTTGCACTTGCTTACGGATTGGGGGCCTGTGAACCGTGACTCAAGTAACCCTCGGCTCACACGATTGTCACCTCTTGCGACACTTTCGGCCTCATCAAATTTGAATATGTAGCCGAGTATCGTCAAATGAGCCGCAACTTGAGAATTTGCATCATTTCGCCGCACTGTTGCCACGTGTTCAGCAATTTGGGTCTTGAGAAGTCTGCCAGTTGCTCCAACATAGTTGCTTTGCCCGCAACTGCACCAGATCCGCCGCTTGGGGAACGGCCAGGCCACCGCGTCACCCTACGCCAGTACCGGGGAGTCAGATGACCGAACAATCATCACACGCATAATGAAAGATCAGCAGGTCAGAGTCCGCATGCCATTCAACAGACCACCAACACTGAAGAAAGCGATTCGGTTAATTGTCGCTGTATGTTTGCAGTAATGACGGTTTTTCTATAAATACTGCAAACTCTTGTGCATACTTTACCCTACCTGCTACTACTCTGATTATGTCTCTGATGACGAATCCTCGACGGATCTCGAAACTTCAGGCGAATAAGAGTATTGTCCCAGCTCGTGGCCTCAATGGTTAGAGCGTTAGACTTCTGATGAAAGAGGTCGCGAGTTCCAGCCTCGGCTGGTGCACCACTGTAGTTTGGTTATGCCTGACTGAGGACGGCTAATAAACCAGAAATGGCCATTCCAGTCTCCCGCCTGTCTTCGCCGACAATACTATCTACACAGTTGCATTCTACAAACACCGAAAGACTTAGCATTTTATGTCTACCAGTGACGATCAGCGTGAACTCCCAGGCGAAGCCATTCTACATATTCATTCCCGCTTGTCTGCTAGGTCACTTTTTTTGATGACAATTCGAAATCATCAAGAAAGAATTTAAAGTAGTCCAACCTATCAATCAAGATGTGAAAGACTTAGATTATCATTAAATGAAACAGTTGAGTTATAGACTTACCCCGGACTTCGCGACCCCCTTTTCGTTCTCTTTGTTCATATTTAGGGGTTTAAACATTTTGGCTAGATGCAAATCATCGCACGAAACGAGGTCACGCAGTTCCTTTAGGCAGTTCTGAATTGCTGTTTGGTAGAGAAATATAAATAACTGCTGGTTAGTTGATAACGCTTGCAAAAAAAGAGTGTACGTCATGTAAATAGAAATGAACGTAAGAATTTCACGATCCCATTGTAAAAAAAGAAAACAGGCGATTAACAGAACGGCAGCTATCTCGACTGGTCGGCTGAAGCAGATGAGGGTATCCGATGATATGTGTATCCCTACACCTGGTAATTCGTCCCTAATTCCCCTTTCTCCATCCCCAAAGGTTTTATAGAGAGGAAAACACACAGTACTGTATACGGCTCTAGCTAAATCGGGTTGTTCTTCCCCCTCGAAAACACCAGATCGCGAGTCCGAAAGTGTCGGATGCAACCGATCCGCAAAACTGTGCCTCGTCTAGTAAATTAAATCTCTGTAAATGCCATCTACGTGTTAATTACTCGGGCATCTAAACGATCTCTTGTATAGGAAGTGTTTCTCGAAACTGACACAACATAAAACGGATTCGAAAAATATTTTCCGAGGATGACAAGCGGGATGTGCTTTGGATTTATAGGCAAAACACTATGATCGTTCAGACATTGACCAATCAGTTGAAAAGCAAGCTATTCAATTAATGATAGTCACCCTAATGTGACTTAGAATAATTACAAGGCAGGTTAAAATTTGAAATTTGGATGAGGCTAATGATGCAAAGTTAATGACAAAATCAAATTTTGCGGTGTCTCGTCCAGCTACTCTTGTCTTTAATTTAACTGTGATATTCAGGGAACATGTCAAACGTAATTGACCCAACTGGTTCAACAAGCAAGTCCTGTTATAGTGAACATGATACAATCGAGGAAGCAGCTAACGGGCAAATGAACTAAGTTCGTCATGTATTTCTCTCCTTTAAACAACTCTGCCTGTCCTCTCCATACGACTACGGCCTCGCGGAGATTAAGAAAAATGATCATTCTTTCATGTAGTACAGACGAGTGAGGGAAACACTATCCCCAAACGAATGAAAAGTGGTTAAATTTTCTGGCGGCCTTTGCTTCTGCTTGATTCGCAGGCCGTTGCGAAATTCAAAATATATTTCATACCAAACTTTATCATTTAGACCATAAAAGTAGGGGCTTTTGGTAAACAACTTAACAGGTATGATATCGCAAAGCTTCCCGACTCAACTGTTGGTTGTCCTATAAGGACGCGGAAATTCAAACTTCCGGTGACAGTCTCGTTTCGAGCTCACTACATTTACTTCGCCTAACTGCCTACTTATTTCGTAACAGTAAGCATGTTTTCTCACCACAAAGGTGCGACAGAGTCCATCCACATTGCACTGCCCCAAGCGGATTTATTTAGAGTCCTATGGTCACATAAATTTAGTTTTACTTTACTTCAGCCTTTAGTTTACTTTTAGTTCATTATCTTGTTTCAGTTTTATTGGTTTGAAGTTACTGTTTTTTACTTAAGATTTAAGCTGAGTTTATTTTTAGTTAGGTTTCTTTCAGTTCATATTGGTTTTACGCGTTTGTATCTTGGCTTACCTGTCCAAGTTTATTAGACGCTAGTATGAGTTTCAAATGGGGGAAAAGCCCATCTTTCACAGTTTTTTAATCTCTAAAATGCGATTTAGAATTGATATGTGGTTTTATCCTATTCGTGCGTATTATTCTTATTTCCTACTGATCGTATTTTAATTATCGTGCGTTAAACATTTGGGTATTTAAATAATTATCCCAAACTTTCTACTTTTCTTATATTTTTCACCTTTCCCTGGTATGCCCCACCATTTAGCCCCCTATTACCACCAGTCCCGTATTACAGAATTCCGGGGATTCCGGTTGGTCTAGTGAGCCCGAAACCAGACTTCTACCAGACTTTCCTCAACTAGGAGTCTCTACTGATAAGTTTTGAAAATAAAAAAAATTACTTGTTGGCAGAGTAGAAAGATCTATGCTCGTATCCAGGTCAGGCAGAAGTGGGCAGGGCACAGGCTGTACCACCGACTCTTCATTCGTCACGACAGGATCTGCCTCGACATCGAGCTGAATTATAAAGAAGAGTAGTGTAAATACGCAGCGGATGAGCGTCATTGCAAAAAGAGAGGGAAAACGTTAGTATGTTGGTTTAGTGACCTACCTACATGTGAGTTGTCCCTTCGCAGTTCCGTTGTAGAAGCAGGTACCTTTTGTCCTGCTCACATATCTTAGCACCCACCCACAGACATCTCATCTGTCCCAGGATTATAAGACCTAGTAATCGGATAGTATTGCTGGCAAAGACAAGGGAGACTGGGGTGACCATTTCTGACTTAATAGTCGTCTTCAGCCAGTGATACCCAGACCTAAGTGATGATCCATATATTGGTGACCCACCGCGACCGTGTTATGTATAAGACCAGCGCTTTAAACACTGCGTCAGGGGCTCTTGTTCTTGCCGATTAAGAACGCGAATATACATAGTGACAGATAGGAGCATACCAATTGGTTACAGGATACAGTCTTTCGTGTTGTGCCTTTCGGACTCACGCTCGGGCCGCGCGACAAGACGGCTTATGGTAGAGACAGAAGAACACTACCGACATTACCTTCGAGGGAACAACAAGTACGATCGTCAGTCAGAAATAGACATTTGCGTCTTCCGGGTCTCTGCCAGCAATCCTATCTGCCTAAAAATACTAGCCGCTACGGCTGCTGTCTGGGCCTGTGAAATGGGGCCCAACGCAGAGCGGAACGAGTGAGTTCTCTTAGCGTTCGGTGAACGTTCATTGACGAGTGTCAAGACCTCCCGACCCGAACCGGCAAGAAAACGAGCTCGTGGCGGCTCAATGGTTAGAGCTTTAGACTATGATCGAAAAGGTTTCGAGATGGAACCTCAGCTGGTGCTGCACTAAGGGTTGGGTATGACTGGCCGACGACGGTTAATAAGCCAGAAATTGTCATTCCAGTCTGCGTTCTCTTTGCCGGTAATACTATCTGCCTAGACTACTAAACGCTATGGCCGCTGTTAGGGCCCAAGAGATAAGGCCCAAGGTAGAGCGCCGCAAGTGAGTTCCGTTACTCGTCGTCGAACGTTCATCAACGAGATTCACTTATCCTGCCGCTGGGTATAGAAGTATAACTTTACGCCAATCACAGACTTAAAAATGAATCGTCCTTCTCCTAATATACCTACGTATATTCATATAAATTCTTAATATGTGGTGAATTAATTCAAATTCAAATTAATTTAAAGAACCACATGGAAGTAAACTGACAACTGCGCACTTACATGGCATAGCATTTTTTGTTCCTACATGTTTGTATTAAATATTTAATGGTAAGTCGGAAAAGTCGAAGGTCTTACAACACATCAATGACATATTACGTTCGGAATCTGGCATGAAAGGTTTTACACTACGACGTGAGGGATAAAAAGTCTTGGATGCAACAAATGAGCAGTCTTCCTATTGCAGTACTGCCTGCTTTTCTGAACTGCGGTAGTTTTTCTGGAACAATTTTGATGCTTTTGCGGTCCGAACTCTTTGGGTCCTCTGTTTAAAACCACGAAATCCCTGCTCGGTAACAGAGATACCAAAATACAACGAGAATTATATTTTTATCTTTAAAGTTATTGTTATAACATCATCACTTTCAGCTGAATATAACTCTAGGTACAATAACTCACACAATGGATGACAGGGCAGGTCTACAACCACAATTCGAAATGCCGGGAAGATAGAGGCAACAGAATACCTCCTGCGCACAAAGCCTCTTCAGGAGGAATTTCAAAAAAGCTTTCATATTCGAAGTTATTTACTTACTTGTGTCACAAAACAGGAGTCGACACTGGTGTCTTTTCCGTTGTTAGGCTGGACAACCACCGAGCTATACTGTTTGCTACGCGATTCAGTAGAGACGAGATCCGAGATGGTGTTGGGAGAAGTTTTATCAGATGGCTCCTCTCCAGATTGACTGTCTCGGTTGATGGAAATTGACGATGCTGAATTTCGCTGCTTATCTTTCTCCCTCTGTTTTCGTAGGGCCTCATCCACATCCAACTTTTTCAGGGAGGGTAGCCTGCTCTTTACCTTGTATTCTGACCTACAAACGTTTCCACATTCTTATTATTAAGCATGCTTATACCGTATATTTCACTAGTTTTACTACTGTTTAATTGCAAGTAGCCCATTTACCTAATATCCATTTTGGGTACTTTTCGGTTGTTTTTCTTTCGCAGACGTTCGCCAAATCGCCTTTCTGCATCCTTCGCACCAAGCTTTTCGATCTGAATATTTACACCACAACGCCTGCTCAGAATTTCCTCCACTTGTCTGGAGATCTTCGTCCTTTGAGTTGTAATGGGATTACCTTCTAGCACAACTTCTTGTAACTTGGGACACACAATTATTGGAAGAATTTCTTCGTCGTCTCTAATCTGGATAATTAAAAAAGAAATAATTTTCACGAAGGCTACTGGTGCTGTTATTCATTGACTGAAAAATATGTATTTCACTAACTTTCTGTGCGAGGACACAACCAATTACTGTTACGTGACCTTGACTGGTGACGACTAATAGGATAATTCGTGGTCTTCCATATTATTCATGACTGCAGTTTATGGTATACTCGCTAAAGGCTGCAGGTCTTGTGTTGGCACTCTGTGGCTTTAGCTTCATTAGGTAATTGAACAAGTGTGGAGAGGCAAGGCTGTTTCTGATGACTGAGGCTCAGGTATCCTTGTACCCGTGTACAAGAGGGAAAATCAAACTGGATGCGAGAACTACCACGACAGAAGTCTTATCGATTTTGTCGCGAAGATTTTCACTATTCTTCTTCTTGGGCGATCCCAGTCTATGCGTGACCCTAGGAGGCGACCCAACCAAGCTGGATTCCGCGCTGGGCGTGTATGTGTGGATCAGATATTCACACTGAGACAGATCATTTAATTCCACCATAGCTTTCAAAAACCAACGGCCGTCTAAGTTATCGACTTTGCTACTATGTTTGGTTCTGTCCATCGTGAATCCCGTGGTGGATGATGGTGCTAGATGATATACCACTATAAATCATCGCCATGGTAAGGGCATACTACCGCTGCAACACTACACGGGTTCTGGTCCACAACAACCTTTCAAAACAGTTCGAAAAGGCTGTGTCCTATCACCATTCTTACTCAAATTTGCCATTGACTGAATTCTCGGGAAGGCCCTACGTGAAGAGGACGGCGTTGAATTTGCATCCGAATACCGGTAGACTGACCTCGACTGTGCCGATGATAGCGCTTTATTAGCTTCAAGCTTTGGGGGTCAACAGTTTATGGTATTGCTGGTGCACGAGGTCGGTAAATTGGTCGGTGTTTCCATAAATGCTGGGAAAACCAAATTATTTTCATGCTACATCCCTGTGCAAGAGAAGGCACCTCTCGAGATTAATTGCTGTAAACTTGAACAAGTAGACATTTTAAAATGCCTCGGAGTGAGATTAATTGCGAGGGGATAGAGAAAGGATGACATTATCTCCTGAATCCGTGTAACTCGTCAGTTTTTTAGAAGCCTTAGAAAGTGCCGATAGACCCAAGGCGATATTTTCATTGCTACAAAGGTTTGCGTGTATCATGCATACGTGCGGTCGGTCCTTCACTACAGCTGTGAATGCTGAGCTATACGAGTGGAAGATGAAAGAAAACTGAAGGAATTTGATCATTACTGTTTGAGGACCATCCTTCAAGTGGAGTGCCTCGACTTCGTCTTAAATGAAACAGTCCGCACTCGCTGCGATAGAATCGCGAGGATATCCCAGGCCATCCATGAAAGATGATGGAGGAGGCTTGGAGGTGTTGTTGTCGTTGGCCACACGAGCTCAATGTTACTGCCCTTGATCCGATACTGATGCCCAACTAGAAACGTTGAAGTGGGGTGGAGGGGACAGCTCAAAACCTGGCTGGATTCAACCCACCAGGACATGGAATTGGTTCTTGGAACTTCGGTGTTCGGCCTCTGGTGTTGGCAGAGGATGGATTAAAATGTCCCGGTTTGTCGCTGCGGATCGTCACGCGTCACCATCCGTGATATAATCGAGGCCGACTAGACCAGTCATGATCGCAGCCGTAACAAGCAGGTATGTGGACAAATGGTGGATGCCGAAATCTCTTCGCACTTTTGAGATATGAGGTTCGGTCAACTATAGTAGGTGGTTCATCTTAAATAATGTAGGTTTACATGAAATCGAGGAATACAATGGGAATCCCCAGAAGCGTCCTTTGTTCCTGTGATGTTCCCAAAATCTGTGATGTTTTTTGCAAACTTCAACGTTCGAGAGGCGCATGATAAGTTCTCTTAGTATGAGTAAATACCTTATTGTAGCAGCATTTAATCTCCAAAACACTTCAGCACTACTTATACCAAACTGTGTGCCTTATAAAAATATATCACGAAAACTGGATGTAAAGAGAAAGCAGCAGTGGAATTAAAGTTTTGCGTGTGGTGGCGGTCAAAGCTTAAATATTTGCAAAAGGTACAATCTTAAGCTAAAACTGTACTATAATTTATGTTATTTTATTCTGGTTTCCAATTTTATAGAGTAGTAACATTGCTTTTTAGATTTTTCTACAAATAAAAATTAACCATCCCATAGTAAAAATTTTATTGTATCTAGGAAAAAAGAAAAGGGCACTTAAAATTGAAGCAAGCTCGACTGAGGAACGTCAAAATAAAAATATATATTTCTTGATCTTTTGCCAATAAATAATGTACGTAGTACATGAGTTTCATTTGAGATAAATGCACCCATCGGTTAGCACGAAATTTCCCCAAATGTGATGTATTAGCGCCGAAGTCATTTTAGGCAATTTACCAATATTTACCAATATCCTTCGTACCTGGTTAAAGGAAAGATCCAGCTTCTCCAAGCAGGGAAATAAACGGTTATCTCCCAAGTTTACAGACGCAGAAGAAGCTGAGCAATTATTTCCAAGAGGTCTCTCATTGATATCGCGGAATGACCTATAAATGAATTAAATATACTAAAAAGTAACTTATATATGTAAAATAACTTGATGGAAAGTCGGTTCTGTTGTAAAAAAAGAATACAACAAAGGACTGTTACTTTGTCAAGCCCCACGTCCGGGGTAGTAAAGATACTAATTTTCCTTAAACCTATCTGATTGCTACAACAAACCGGCAACGGTAGCTTATGCAGGCCCAATCATTAATCCCTACTCCCTGTATTTTTTCCTACGAAAACTGTGATTATAGGGTTTGATGTGTGGGGAAATAGGACACGCAGTAAAATATACTTTAATAAATGCTAAATGCAATTTATTTTACTGTATTTAGAAGTGTTATAGATTTATATATGTAGATTTTCCTAATCTTTATTGTCGTTTAATTTATTGCGAAAAAACCCGATTATCAAACTGCAGGTTTCTTGAATTTCCCGAAAAATTGAAATGGTGGTTAGGAGGTCGTCTACTTCAACTTAGCTGTGGTCCAACTTACCGTTCTGTTACTTCAACTTACCTGTGGTCCAACTTACCGTTCTGGAGTTAGATTAGTAATTAGGAGGTTGTCTACTTCAAACTACCTGAGGTCCCACTTACCGTTCTGGAGTTAGATTAGTAAAGTCCGTGGCGCAAAGCGCCGCATACACCTTCAATTTATATGCGGAACAACTTACTGCCCGCAACTTCGACTACATTTTTTTACTTTACACTTACTTGTAAAGTTTTCTTCTCCGCCTAGCCTATTTCTCTACCACCTAAAACTCTATAACCACCGTTTTTGCAGGACAAAATGCTGGGACTAGGGGTATGTGAATGGTCCTATATAAGCTACTTTTGACAACAAACCAAAATTCAGCTTGTCCAGATTTCGATTTGTTGGGGTTTCGGTAGAAAACAGGACAACAACTTAACCCTGGGGTAGGAAATTAAACTGATAGAGGAGTGGATTCGCAGAAGTCTAAAGCCGAATAGGGAATGCATTACTGAGTAAAAATGGCAAAAGTAGCTTATGTAGCCCCACTCATATACCCCTAGTCCCAGCATT